TACCACAACCACAACCATCACCACCACCACCACTACCACTACCACGACCACGACCACCGCTACCAGGCCAGTATCAATTCGTTTTACATGTCCGCGATTGCGGTGGCTCCCGGGCCGACCCCCACCCGCCAAAAAGAAGTCAGACGGGCTTTTCAATAGAGGAAGCGGGGGCTCCCCCTCTATTACAGAGCACGGACTACCACACTGTGAGGAACCCTCACCCATCCAGTTTCCAGGTGGAAGAGTTTTGCTCTAACCCCTCAGAATACCGGAAGATTCTCCAAAACTGCAGCCCTAAAATGCGCACTCTAAAGCCTAAACTCCTAAACAAAGGTCCGAAGCAGAGCTGATCAGACAAGCGCCTCCTGGAGGAACTTCAGCGCTGCCACGTGGCCGTTTCGTGCAGCATAGTGCGCCGGTGTATTTCCATCATGCGAATCGTTGGTCCATATCACGGAACTCAAATTGTAGCCGGCCTCTGCAAGGAGCTCCCAAATCCCAAACTTTGCCCGCCACCCCAATCGAAACGTAACTTAGCGAAGAACTTTCGCAGCATCCTCACAGCCCTTCGCAAGAATTCACCACTTCCCTACAGCGAAATAGCAACCTCAAAGGTGGGCCTGACGCCACGCTGCGAGCGCCGCCACGTCGCCGTTCCAGGCGGCCATTTCCAAAGAAACCCTCGACGTGGTGGTAGTAGGCGGCACGCTCGTCTCCGCGACGTCGTCCTGTTCATGGTTCTTGTCGGTTCCAGACCTGGACCTACGAAGCCTTCCTGCCGGCTCGGGAGATGGGCGAGGGCTTTCAGCAAAAGAAAGCACGAGTGACAGAAGAGGAGAAGAGAAGCTCGTTTGATCTGCTCTTCTGGCGTCGCCCAAGCGGGCGGAAAACCACTTGGCTGACGGCTTGCCTCTGGGCGCCTTACAGGAAAACATGCTTTGGGCCTCATCGCAGCGCCAGCTGATGCTCATGAGGTGCACGCTTTAGGCTGCACAGCCGGCCAATTCTAATCTGTTTCTTGATGTCATGCTCAAAAGTTCGTCGGCATTTCGCTTCGGAATCATTTCCAGCTGTGCGTGTTCAGGCCTGCGGGACTTTCGCATCCGCTTACAAAACTCTGGACCCACACAGAGCACCCTACGTGCCTGCAGCAAGGTCTGCACGAACTCCTTCGTCTTGGCAAGCTGCTCTTCCTGCTCTTCCTGCTGAAATTTAGGGTCTAGCGTATAGGGTTTAGGGAACCCGCAAAGTTCTGCTTTGTCACTGCTTTGTGCTTGAGGCGAGCCCTCCTATTGGAGCGTCGAAGCAGACGTTCAGCCCCAGGCCCCTTCCCCCCCATGGTCCATGGTCCAGGATGCTGGGGTGGGGTGTGGGCCCCCTCTTCTTTATGTGGGGTTTTGGGGTTGAGCGTCCAGTTTAGGCCTTTTGAGCTTGGGGTTGAAGGTGTAGGGTTAAAAGGTATAAGGCGGGCTTGGGGAGGGCTTTGGGTATAGCATGTAGGCTAGAAGGGTTTAGGGTTGGCTGCAGGGTTTCGAAGTACAGCGTAAGATCCCGGCCTTCTCTGTGATGCCTGGCTGCCCCCCAGCAGCACCGACCCTTTCCGCCCACGCCAGGCCAGGCCCTCCACCCCACCTTGCCCCTATGACCCTATGATGACCCAGAATAGTCACTGCAACTGGACGTGCCCTCTCGGACCTGCAGCGAGGCCATGAAGGACAAGATCCGTTCGTTCTGCCGAGCCTGGCCAGGCACCGCGAAGCCCTCGAGTCTTCAGCGCGTGAGAGCCTTGGCCTGGTGAGTATCAATGAACCCCGAGACCGGATGCTCCTGGCACCACGAGGATTCGCCCCTTCTTCAACCGTTGAAACTGACAGCATCTTTACCGAGAGAGCCCCCTCAACTTTCCCATCTCGCGCGGGGGCTCCCTCCAGGTCCTGCTCCTTAGCCGCAGCCAGGTTTTCCTGAGTAGACACCTGGGGAAAATGAAAGCTAGGACTGAAGAATGTGGGGTGTCGGGGTTTGCGGCTTCCAGTCGGCTTGGCCCTCAAATCACAATCCTGGAACAAGGAACTTGACTTTCGATCCTCTCCCGGCAGCATGAGAAATCCCACGCCGCAGGCACCCCTCTTCCCTTGCTGACAGCTCAGAATCCCACCGGCGGAACAGCGACAACCCGGTACCGAGAGCCAAGCCCGCGTGCCATCCACCATGGTCATCGTGGCGAGCGCGACCAGCTGAGTCACCTTACACCAGACTTTGATTACTAGGGTTTGGGATGTTCAAGCCTAAGGCTATGGCTTCGTTATGGGTTGCAAGGGGTGTCGTCTGTCGATTTGTGTTGTTCCGTCCTGCAGTGGACACCTTGCATCACATTATACTACAGACATACACTCAAACGTTTCCAGTCAAAGATTACATGCAACGAAGGGCCCCAGAAGGTGCTACTGAAGCGTCGATGTCCGGGGAACTACGCCGCAATACTCAGCCCGCGGCCAGCATCGCGCAATTGAAGCTTGGAGTGGACAAACAAACACGAACTTGCGATCAGAGCCGAAAGCTGCTGGGATAAAGCAACCTAAGCCCTAAACCCTAAATTTTAAACACTAAACCCTAAACCCCAACACTGGAGGCCTCGAGCATTTCAATATTGAGTCAGAAGGCTGAGGGCTGGGGCCGTTCCGAACATCGACATCTCTCTAAGTATATTGAGTATAGTAGGGTATATTTTCGTATATTACGGCTATTACGGTATATAACAGTACAGTGCGTATATATAGTATAATAAGCTAGTGGTATACTATCGTATATTTCGGTATATTGTAGTGCACTCTGGTAGATCATAGTATATTACGATATATTATAGGCATATATAAAAGCATATTATAGCATAGTATGGTAGAAAATAATATATTGCCGTATCTTCTAGGATATGACGGTATACTATAGTATACTATGATATATTATAGTAGATCATGGTATGCTACAGTGTATTACGGTATGTTACGTTCTGATCTGGCACAAGGCTTTCAAGCCGGTCAGATCTGGTCTTTTTCGAGCCGCGGAGGAATCCTCTGGTCTCTGAAACTCGCTGTGATCTTGTGCAGCTCAGCTTTTGGGCCTTTGGGGCTTCGGGTTTGTGGCTTTAAGGCTTATAGGGGCCTTTGGGGCTTCGGGTTTG